CGGTTCACATTTAACAACAAGTGTCTCAGAATGTTTCGAATTTCGAGGACATATAGAGGGATCCCAGATGATCACTTTTTGCCGATGATCATGTGGTCGGAGAATTCATATAATGAAGTTACACGTGTGACATTTGCCCCTTATTGCTAGGCAAATTGTAATGCACAAGTACCGATTAGTGTAGCTCAGAACAAGCATTGCCGCTGTCCCTGCAGCGACTGTGACTGGAAGGCTCTAAAGTTCGAGTTTCGATGGTGGTGGATTTTCGACTCTCGCTATGTAGCTAGATCGCTGCAGCGCCTCGAATTCAACCGCTGTTTAGAGAATTCTAAAGCCCGGCGACTCTGGTTGATAGTTTTATGAGTTCTTGTTTTCAGATCAATACAGGCCGAATGCAAGAGCTGTAATCCAATAACCGATCTTTCCTTTTTCTTCCTTGTTCCATCCTCTCCTCTTACACACCTTACACTTTCATGTGCTACACTACCACACAAGTTTGGAGTCCAATCGAGAGCTTAGAACTTTTCCCGGCTGCTGCGGCAGGGACGGTGCTCGTCCAGGAAGGTATCTGTGTGTGGGGGAGGGGGATAGTCCTCAAGTAGTTGTAGGTCAGCGCCGGATTTCATAATTTAACGGAGGAGGAACACCGTGACATCAGGCGATAAAACATTCACTGCACTAACGGGACTATTGGCCGTAGCAGTTGGCATGCCCGGAAGAACATACGCATAAATGAAGTTTCAAAAGATATTGAGATACATTCAGTTGGTGAATTTATTGAATATGCATTTGTATCATACACAGTCAAAAGTTCTGCAAAAGGACTACAAACCCAGCTCCCACATGATCTATCACTATGATGAAATGATTTGGTTTCATAGTCTGTTAAGTGTGTAAGTGAATGAAACTTGGCAATATTGGACATATATTCAAATTGATGAGGAGGGATTGCATCAAGAGCTTGAAAGTATTTGGGAAGACAGGAATGTATTTATTTTTATTTTCACGCCTTGCTACGTATGCTATACATATTAAAGAGAAAGTATTGCAATGCTTCGGCCAAAATCTGTGATTTTTGACAGAAACGCGTTTTATGGGACCTTAATATCGAAAAAATGGACAAATTTTGTTCCTCAATATTTTAAATTACTTCCTCTAACACGTGGTGGAACCAGAATCCACATTTTGTGGGTCCTTTGCACCGAAAAACTGATTGGCGGCAAAACATCTGTTTTGAAACCGAATATTTTGGTTTTGGGAGTATTTTGCATGAAGCCGTAACATTTTAAAAATTTTCTTAAAAATGTATCCAAATTTGTTGATAAGGTTTAGTCCTCCGATAGAGTAAGGACACTTAATAAATGGCACGGGTCTCATTTTCCTTAAAGTCCGTGATTTTTTCAAAGATTGCAAAAGTTCAAAACTATTTCGGGCTATACAACAGATTCCATTAATTCAATCCCGCCTGTTTATACATTGGAAGTGTAGTATGATAATTACGCATTTCAGTGCACATACACACTTATTCATTTATCAGTAAAAGTCAAGATTTTAGTTTGAAACACTGCTTTCATTGTAGCCAGGTCCCGCAATTCAGCCGATTGCCGGTATGAAATGAACCAAGCACACCCGATCGCACCCGAGCTTCCCCATGACCCACGCGCCTCGCACACATCGGCGCTTGGCAAGCGCGCGCATTTCATAACTGCTAGTTTAAAACGATACAGCGCTTTCGATAAATTAGAAGATTTATGTTATAAATAAAGTAATATTTATTTTCTGTTACAAATAATGTTTTTTTTTCTAACTTACAAGGTACGCCATGTGTGGACATGAAGGACACACCACTGCGTTGACCACAGGCAGACGGACGGAGGGCCGGCCGGTCGGACAGACCATCTGTCTATCCATTTTGCGATGTCAAGGACCCACAAAACGTGTAGAAGTGGAAGTAATTCTAGTAGTAATTAAAGTCTTCCATTATGGAAGAAAATTGTTCCAATTTTTCGATACCAGGGCCTCACAAATACTAATTTTTCTAGCGGAAAATCGCTGATTTTTGCCACAACTTTACAAATTCTCTTTACTACGTACATAACACATAATGTAGTAGGACGAAAAAGTACAAATATAAGAAAATGTTGGCACAATAATAGTCATTTTTACATTCTCGCCAACTATGTATTTACGTAATAAATTGATAGAATTGTAATGCTATAGCGAAAAGTGGCGATGTTTCAACGGAAAAAACTTATTGTGAGTCCCTGTTATCGAAAAAGTAGATAAATATCGCTTCTATATGTAGCCAGTGGTTTAATCCAAATTAGCTTTAGGGATGTCGGTCAAATCGACATCTAGCATTCAGGAATGCCAAAACTTGCTTATACGTTCAGTTAGGATGTCTTCATCTATTGAAATAAAATTCACAAATTAGTGCAAAAGATGCAAATGTGAGTTGGCCAGAAATGTGGTTACTCTATGTAACAGAGGACATTAAAGATTATAGAGAGAATTATATATAGGTCTAGATGATGAAGATATAAAGGGTACCATGTTCTGGTATTGTTTTGCAGTTTGAATAAATGTCTCCCTCTCTAATCTCAAAGAAATCATACACCTAATAGTCCATTCAGAACAGTGCTGCTTGTTAAATTATTATATAATCTATTAATATCTATTTATGTATTAAGTATTTGGCATTTTAGGATTGCATTATTCCCACTTTTGCCAGCTAGCAGTGTTCCGAGGCCTTTTGCCCCAATTTTTATTTATTATCCATGCCTGGGGTAATGGAGACATGTGGTGGGCATGACAAAGTCTCTTCAGCAGTTCTATCATTCTTGGCCTGCCTGAGTCTTTCTTTTGTCACACAGCTATAGAAACTGATACAATTGGAATTTAAACATTCTTTTTCTAAATGTATAATTAAATTATATTAGAGGTTTTAGTATTCAACATCATAAGTTTTCATTCATATTTATTAATCGTTTATTCATTCACTATTGCTTTCTTATAATATTCTCGAAGAAGAGAGATGATACCTATGAATTAACATCATATGAATTAACAAACACATCAAGCCTTATAACGCATGACAAAAATACAGTATCACTCACATTATATTAGAAATGAAATGTCCAGAAATGGGAGAAGGGAATCTTACATACGCCTCATGTAAGACATTACATTAATGTTTTACTCCATTAAGGCATTGCCTACATAATGCAATTTTGCAATGGAAGATGTAATGTAATTCTCCAGTTACATGACACACTGCAATGCAAGTCTCAATTTCTGACCTCCAAAATATAATGTAAAGTTCCAGTAAAAGTAAAAAGAAAAAGCATTTAACATTAAACAAGAGAGTCATAACGATGCTGGTAGTGAATCTTTAAAATAAATTGTTTCCAAACGTAGGGTTCATTTATCCCTAGGGAAAGCACCATTATTAAGGTGCTAATTTAGATTTAGATTTAGATTTATTCAGTAAAAAAAACAGTAAAAACTGTGTGTGTCATAGGGGGAAAAGATAGGAAACTTATTTGCATCGGTACACAAATTGCAAGTATGATTTTTCTTACAAAATAGCAACTCGCCATTACCTCTACTCTTACCATTACAAGCAAAAGAAGAGTTCAACAAAACATGCGCATAGTGAAGCTACAATTCCTTAGCTTTATAGCCATACCTGGAAATGATAAATGTGTATGGACTGGTGATTATAACTTTATGATTTGAATGATGTTAGAACAACGCTGAAATGAGAGGTGGGGGAAGTGGGAGAATTAGGAGAAAACTTGCTGTGAACTTACTTTGCCCACCACAACCCAAGTACCCAAAGATGAAAAGCAAAACATGTAAACACTACATCATGGAACACCTTAGGAGAAAAGAAATAGGATGGTTAATTTGGAACAACTGTTTCAAAGGAGGGATTTTTTTTCACTGGAAGAAGTTTTACACTTAAAGATTTTTAAGCCATGCGTTTTATCTTATCCAATCAACTTTTTAACATTTGGACATATTTTCTTACCAAATGTCACTATAATTAATTGCATTGTATTGATTTTGGCAGGACCTTTTTTTTTTTTTTTGGAAACAATAATGAACCATTTAATCTACTCTGAACATGTAAAATAAAAAACATATAAAGGGGATTGAGCATGATGTAAGAGAACTAAAAGTGAAGAGTCTTAATGAAAGATTGTTTCAGAAGAGAAATAAATGGCTGAGATGCAAAGTACGCAAAGATGAGATAAATCCAGTTTACCAAAGTTAGCCTTCCAGTATAAGCCAAATGGTAGGAGAGAAGTAGGAATGCCAAAAAAGTGATGGAGAGAAGTTCTGTGAGGCTGGACCAGGCAGATGCTTATTCCTAGAAGTCAAGAAGAAATAGTTGGAAAAATCCTGGACTACCTGACCAGGATTTAATCTCATGCATTTCACAAAGAAATACCATTGCATTTCCTCCTTGTGTAGAAATTTAATAATATTTTCGTATTCAAGTATTGGTACTATGATTTACCTCTTATTAAGAAACATTTTGAGACTCTCTTCAACAGTTAATTCAGTTCAGACAGGCACTTTTGTTTTCCAAGAGTAGGAATTGAGGTAAATTAAACACATACATTTTTTACCTACAAAACAATAGTTTTAAAAATAACATAAAATGTATTTAAAAATGTGATTCAGAATTGTTAAGTGCCTTTTTTGAATGTGATATGAAAGAAAGTGAAATATAAATGTCAATTCTTTAATAGAATTGATTGTATTGTACAGCGGCACACTCAATGTATCCTTTGTTTATTTTATGAATGTTATCTATAAGTCAACAAATTAAAATAAATTTTATAATTAGCATAAAGAAAAATTCACTGTATGAAGACATCACGTTGGCTTGATGATTTCACCTGTAACCCCCCTAAGAAAAAAGCTATGGTATTGTAGATGGATGATGAAAAAGTTAAAACCATAATTTTAAACAAAAATATTTTATTATTGTGGGTAAGGTAAATATCTACAAATATATCATGTACATCTTTCTTTTTATTGTGGAATAATTTTATAGAAATGTATCATTTACAGAAACAATGAAGTATATAAGGAAACAATCCAAAATTGATGATACCTTCAACACATCCATTGTTATTATGTCTTATTACTATGTACAATGTATGATGATGACATATTTTTGGAGAAGCTTTAAGTTATATGCTAATTTACATAGATATTATCTTGAAGAAATCTTATACAATGTTTCTTTTTTTGATACTTTTGTAAATGTCATTGGCAGTTATAAAACAGGAAAATTGTCTCTAAATTGTTAACAATGATTAGTATTTGCTTTAAAGGTCACTGAAAAAAGTATTAAATATAGTAAGTATAAAATGTGTCTCGTAAAAACAATTATGTAGTTTTGCAAATCCAAAAAAAATTACTCAAAAAGTCTGTTCCTTGTCTTTTGGTTGTCTTTATGCATAAAATACTTGTCATGTCCAAGTTATCTTACAAACAGTATATTAATTTAAATAGTTCATAGAATGCATGTAGCACATATCTTTGGTTTGCATCTATTATTAATTTGCAATATTAAATTTATTTTAATTTAGTAACTAATATAATACAACTAAAATACAACTTTCATAGAGTGGATAATCATTCATATCTAGATATGCACTGATAAGATATTTCATCTAGAAACTTTTTTACGAGACAATTTACATTGAATCGAATAATTTTAGAGAAAAACTAATGTACATAACAGTTGTATATTTTTCGTTTTTTCCTTTTATTCTGTACTTTATTACAAATAGAAGGGAAATGAGATTTCCTAGAAAACACTCTCCTGTCATAAATAATTTATTTTTATTCTGAAAGTGTTTATGGTAATGGTAAATGGTAAAAAAAAATGTAATGTTTGTAAAATTATATGAAATCCTGAGGGAAGGTTGATGTTATCTTCAAAAATATAATAATGGTAATTATTGTGAGTAACATCAAAATCCTCACTTTGATTTTCATATTATTGCTTACTGCCCGACCATTATATGGAAGAACAACATTCATAGTTCTAGGAAGGGGTTTTATATTGTTTTAACATATTACTGTTCCTTGAAACAGCTGGATCACAAATATTCATCAATTTGATACTGATGTTTCCTCTAGCAACTTTTTTTTTCATGCTGAATTTAGTGTATTTTCTGATGCATAATTGACATCTCAATGAATGTATGTGGGGAAAAAAAATATATATATATATAGAAACAAATATGTATCCTGTGATACTGAAGATATCTTTTAATAATAGGCATATTGTTGGACTTGCTTCATCTGTTACAAGGTTGCATGTTCAGTATACATAATTATAGTTTATATACATATCTATAGACACAATCAATATACATTATATTAACATATTGACTTGGCAACGAAGGCTTAGTAAAAACTAGAATTCAGTTCATCACATTCTGTAACAACAACAATTCACTGAAAATTCACCTTAGTGTTCAGTTTCCAAAGTACCGCACAAGAATCTTAAGTACACTTTGATTTTCCTTTTACACAAAACAAACATTTTTGTGAATCATGTCATTCCATCATATTTATATTAGATAGCATCAATCTATCTGTATATGAAATACTTTTATACCAATATTACATATTCATATTCATATAAGGCCCAGTGATTGGAATCATGTCATGTAGGTAAATTGTATTTCTCTTCAAGTACTGGTTGATTGAGTAGCTTTAATATCCATATTTTGTTCTGGAAAAAGCTATTGCTCACTAACACAGGTTCTCTATTCATTCACACTTACAAATATAACTTTCAATTTCTTAATACTACTTTCAAAAAGTATAAATATTTTCCCTCTGTATTTTGATTGAACAAACTGAAATTACTTTTTATCACAGTGATCTCAAGTAATGTTCTCAGTTGATACAGTAAACACAATATAATGGCATTTTGTTCAACACTCAATACATGTCTGAGTGATGCAAATGCTTAGGTACTGTTAATTTTGACTGGGAATAAAAAAAATATTATTTTAATTATTTGAAGTTCAATGTAGATAAATACATTGAATATTAATTATATTTGTGGGGATGTGAATATTTTCTTGGTTTCATTCTCATGTCTTTATGAGGTAAGGTGCCAGTAATAATTACCTTTCTCATCAGCCTATCTGTGACTAGCAGGGCCTGCTGTCTTGATCATTTCCAAATAATCTACATCAATAGATCTCATGGTTAATAAAAATCAAGTGTCAGCTCTTGCAGCCCTTGACAATGGTAAAGTGGAGAATCAGGTAGTGCTAATACACGAAACTCCTTAGTTGTGTTGACATTGTAATTGATATAATGAACTCCTCACTTGAAATATTGTGAGATATCAGCCAAGGATATTTAAAGAAGACACTAGCTGTTGATTATATACGAGATCCAGTCAACAGTGTGAGCAACTCTATGGTAGATTCCTGGCTGTCCACGTTGGGCACAAGAGTAGCCTGCTGAGACAATTCCTATCAGGTACCAGCGACCTGCTTTTTCTGTCATTAAAGGCCCACCACTGTCTCCCTGCAAACAAAAACAAAAAATGATCAAGTGAGAATATACTACATGTGTACCTAGTACTTGTAGTTTACAACTCTCAATACACTTCCAACTATTAAAATGTGCCACCTCTTGGGAAGAGCCAAACCAAAGGAAATGTTGTCTAGGAGAATATGGAGAATATTCTTTTTTTACTCTGAAGGGGGTGAAAAATGTTGGCAATATGATCCTGGCAATGAAATGATATATTTTGTGAACATTCATGATAAGAGAAAAATGACACAAAATTTCATGTTTGACTTCTGAATTTGCAATATGTAAAGGGAAAAGAAAAATAAACTCTTAAAACTGATTAACAAAATATTCTGAAAAATGTTATTTTGCAAATGAATTACCCAAAAATTTTAAAAGAAGATGAATGTATTGAAAAAATGGCTTATTTTTAAAATAAAATATGCAATGCAAGCTACCAAAACATTTTCTATGAATATTTCATTAATTTCACATCCCAACGTAGTAATATATAAGTACAAACTCATTTCATTCAAGGCAGTTTGCCAGATGAATAGTAATTATCACACCAGTTATTTATAATTAATAATTTCTGTGTGAACGTTTCTCATAAATACTGAATTACATGTAACTTAAGAATTATTAATTGTACAAGAAGGATGATATACTCTTACACACAACTAAACACAAAAAGTTGTCTGAACATTTCTGACATCTTTTTGACATCTGTTTGCGAATTCATTCTTACAAATATTGTGGATCTATTTCTTGCAATACTTCTTGCAATAACACTTGCAATTGTTCTGTACACCATCCCTCTAAGGGTTCTTTCTTAGAGATAGAAACAGAAAATTCTGAACATTAAATCCATTAATGTTAAGAATTTTAAATACATAAATAAAACACAATGTTGCAAATGGTAGAGTATTATGTTTTCAAACCTGAAAACAACTATGCTTGGACTGTGAATTTAATTGAAAGAGAAATAAAGCCATGTTGACTTAAAAACCTAAAAATCATCTGAATATTTGTGAAATGTTTCATTTGTAATATGAGATCTTATCTAAAAAGAACTTCCCTTTTGATATATTAAAGGTTGTTCAAAAATATATGTGTGTAACATGAATAAATTAAAATAAGTAGTTAGCAAAATGTAAGAAAAGGTAAAACGGGGACAGAAAAAGAACATGCTACTTAGTATCTAAATACTGTGTATTTAAATACTAGAGACCATAAGAAAAACATATTTTTTCTTTGATAACATCAATTTCATGTGAGAACAGAATTTGTAATGCTCAGCTTTAAAAAATATTTTTACTTATCAACAAAATTTCATAGACTTTTCGCCCTGAAATATGGCCACTATAAGTGAAACACTCAAATAAAAAAGAAAAAAAATTACTATAACAAATGAAAAAAGATTGGCATAGCTATCAGAGCAGTGTGAGCTTTAGTTCTTAGGGTTAAAGAGTTGTGGATTTCAGACCTGCCTTGAACGCACCTGAGTGTATGCGAGTTTGTGAATGCAAGAGTGTGTATATGCTGTGATTGAATTGATGTGAGTGTTAAAGTGTGTGCATGTGTAAGTAAATGAGTGAGCGAGTGTGTGTGTATGTGTGCCCACGTGAGTGAGTGAGTGTGTAAGAGTGAGAGGGAGGGAAGAGAGAGAGAGTGTGTGAGCGTGAGAATGTATCAGTTAACAACCTAGTTTAACAAAACTAGAGGTTAAATTCATTCTTTGTCATTAATTCCAATGGCAATGAAAAATGATACTGGGTTATATGTTAGCTGCTCTTGTGTTTGATAGCTGGTTTGCATCGCAATTGAAACTAAACCATGGATTCAGTGAAATGGAATGAAGAATAGTTTTTCTAAATAGGATGTTAAATAGAATGTAATGAACAGCAAATCTGAAACTGTGTAGACATATCTTTTCAGAACCTCATAAACATCTACTAGGTATTTATTTGCAAATAATACTACATGTAGATTTCTTATACAAAAGAGGTTTGCAGATAAGAGATAAATAAAGAGGAAAATAAATATGAACACACATTTTGAACAAATTGAAAAATAGATGTTGAAGATGAATAGTTCTTAGAAGAAGAATGTTAGTGGGAAATTTTGTTACGAATGTCAACATGTGGGTACACAGGTTTCTTCTTCTCTGTGATTCTGATTGAAGTTAATAATGAATGTTTAACCTAAGTCTTGTTTAATAATGAAATTAAGCTTCATGAATAAATCAATACAGTGCTCTACAAAGGGATCCAATCGAATGTCATGGAATAGTAAAATTAGAAAATTAAATTGATCATGTGAATATATGCACCTACTTTCATCAGTACATCACAACAAAAAATCTTAAAAAATAAGTTTTAAATGGTGATGCTTCCAAATCATTACTAGAATAACAAATTTAGAAATCTCATTTTTGTTTACATCGGAAGTAACAAAATGTGTATTATTCCTTTGATAAACATGTTTAGTAATGATTAAGGCTAGGATTTTGATGATTTTGCATCTTTTTTCTCATTTTTCAGAAACACTTCTTCTTTGGTACTAACGTATTTCACAGTGTTTTGAAATGTTTGACAAGTATTTGATGGGGAATTTTTGTCATTTTTTGGTTGAGAAGACATTTTTTTGCCTTTTTGAGTTTTGAGGTCATTGTTTGGTCATTTTTTACTTTTCTCGATAGTTTTATTTCATTTTGTACTACTTAAGTGCTCAAATCTAAATAGAAAACTGCTGCTGTCGACACCCTAGCAATTATCACGTAAAAGTAACTACATCCTTTCAACAAAATAACTTTCAATGGTGTGAGGGTAGGGGAAGTGGAGATGTCCCGAAACTATTATCTTCAGATTTTATGTCTGTGGTATACACAGTTCTGTGAAGTGATTATGTTTCGTAAGCATAGTCAGCACAGAGTCTGATGGGGAAGACGCTTGCGAGATGGGGGAAGTTGAATGTTGTAGTATTCAATTTATTCCAAGTATTTTATCATGGAAAGTTATTGACTTAACTGAAGAAAGAAATATTTTGCAGTATAAAAATCATGAAGTGGATACGTTTAAGGGTATTTTTGAAGGATATTTAGAGCATAAATTCATCATAATCTTTGTCTTAGCAATGATCATCAATATTTATTTTTTAATTCATCTTTATGAAGGATTATTACATATTCAAGTTACAATTTTTTTTAATAAAACTAAACTTTGCAAATTCCTTTACATTAATAAGAAATAAGGGAATTTAGTATCATGGGTAAATGGTATCAAATTTCTCCAAGTTTACCTTACTTAAATGTGCAATCAATGTTTCACATTATGTAAAATATGTTTTTCTTTTTTAAAATAGATTTCCTCTAGCATGTAAATGTTTTCAATTTCCATCTCGTGTATGAGGTTTTCAAAGAAAGTTTGATAAAAAGACATTTTGAATTAAATAAAAATGTGCTCATACAAAAGTGCTCAATTCCATTACTGGACTAAATGTCTGTTCAGTGTCAGAAGATGGAAATAAAACTATTTTTTATAATAAATGTTTGTCCTTTTCACAACAGCATCATAATCAAGAGACATATAGAAAACGGAATATTTTGAAGTATTAAAATCCTCACTAGTATTTAATGGTTTTAAAAAAAGACAGGATTTTGAAGGCAAATTTTATAATAAGCAATGTCTTGGAAATGAATTTGGAAAATGTTCAAAATAACTGTAATATATTTGACTATATATTTGTTACATTTTTTAATTTTCAGTCGTAAATGAGGCACTCAAAGTGTTCAGTATTCAAGCAAATGACTATATAAGAAATTTGATGTTTTTATTTGATATATTCATTTATAAATAAATCAAGTTCAGAGTGTCTTCCACTTTCATCTAGGTATTTTCAGTCCTCCACTGTAAGTTCAATACTGTCTGTCAGATGAAGGGGGTCTGTCTGTCACATGATACTTTACTTCTCTCATTGTTAGAAGGATGTTTTCTTCAGAAGCTTCCTGCTTCATAACACACAAAAGTTGTGATCACACTCCTACCTTTCTTAGCTAATTAAATAAACAAATATTCTATTAAATAAATGTGCCCAATCAGAGGCATAGCTATGTTTTTGGAGGCCCTGGTGGTCCCCAGAAAGTACAAATGGAACCTCTCCTTGCCATTGCCATCTTTACTGGGTATTGGCGAGTGCCTTCATTTGAGGCCCCTGTCTTCCAAGGACCCTGGTGCCACACACAGGTTGCACCAGCCTAGCCATGCCCGTGCCGAATCACATTAGTGTTTGCAATCTTTTCATTTTAAAATTTCTTGGAAACAATGGATGAAAGAAATTTATTTTAAAATTAAATGCATGAACTCTCTTAAGAAAGAGTTATTTTACATTTGAATATTTTTCTGATAATGGATAGTTATACAATGTTAGTATTTTGCTTATTCCGTGTTGAATGTTTTGAGTAGGGTATTGAAATAATTAAAAACTCTTCAATTTGCATTTGTGTGAAAACAGCATAATTAAATAGAAATTTTAATGTGGTTAATAAAACCTAGCCAACTTCATTTTTATAAAATTTGCCTTATCTGAGCACCTTGTCCCTCAGATCTATTGCACTGCAATTCATTAATTAAGCTGCACAAGGGTGCATACACTGTGTTCAACTTTAACATTTATGAAACCATGTTGCACACTTACACTGAACTAAATAGAGGTATTTTCTCAAAATCATAAAAATTGAGAATAACTTAAAAAATATTTCACATGGGAAATTGATTTTTATTGTTTTGAAAGATAATTTGTATGCATAATTTTGATGCACATACTGATACATCACACTTTTCAACTGTATTTTTAAAAATACTGTAGTTGGAAACCATGTGTCTCATAATAGAATTTTTGTTATTGTAGTATGTGTCAGAAATAAAATAAGTCTGCTAACAATAGAGGTATTCAAGAATAATTTTGTTAAATACTGGAATCTGTTATTTGGAAAGGTTTACAATGTGGGTAAAAAGATATTGTTAGCATTCCAGGTGTCGATATTTTTCAAAGCTGGAATCAAACAAATATTGATTCTGAAAGGAAGTATGTAGGTGAAAATGAAACACATATTCACTGCCTATGGAACAAGCTATAACAGCGTGCCACTTTTTAAATATGTCAAAAAGTTCAGAATATGTGTAGGCTATATCTGTAAAGCTGAAAATTATAATTGAGAGAAAAAAGAAAAGAAAAACAAAAGAGAGAAAAAAAGGGAAAAATTACACTAGAAACACAAAAATGGTACTAAAGAGGCACAAATGAGTGGAAAGTTTGAAAACAAGAGAAAAAATATTTCTGTTCACTGTACCCAATTTTCCATATAATGAAATAAAATGAAAGCAACAATAACATTATGCTGTTTGAAAAACATTGTACTCATGCATATTGCTTCTCCTCCAATACCTTTTTAGACATGGATAATACATAATTGTTGTTCAGAAAATGAAAGGTGGGGGCAGAGGCGTATCCAGGTATTCAGGTGCCCACGACAAGCACAGAATTGTCAGGATACTTCAAATTATGATTGTTGTTATTTGTTTTAGGGAGTCCTGTTTTCACGGGTAGCGGGTGTGAGTCACACTAGTGTGAATAAGATTCTGATTAAGAAAGCTAAATAGCACCCCTTATGTGTGGCGTACATGACACCTACCACGTCTGCCATACCGTAGATACGACTGTCGTGGAGGGAAGCTTACATGGCGGTATTATACGCGCAAGTTTTCTTCAGCATCGGAATTACTACTCCCCCTCATTTACGAAAATTAGACGAATTCATAATAAAATATAGTAAAAGCTTTGTTGATAAAACCTAATAATCAGCATTCTCCCCCCACCCGTATAATTAAAACCATTCTGTATCGAAACATGAACTAAAGATTAGTTATAATAGTCCTGCCGTCCAAATAAACAACTTTCCCCCACTCCTCTCGTATTTAGCGAAATGAGGCCGAAGAAAACGTGCACTTATAATGTTGATTCCATGATATGACGCCGGAAAGCACTGCCCTGAAATTTTCACAGCGCTGAGTAAACGAAGTTTTAAGGCTAGGGCAGGGGTGTCGGGCAGAGAGCGCAGACCCACCTGGCAGGAGTCCTTGCCGCCGCCGCGGTATCCCGCACACAGCATCTCTTCGTAGATCACCACGTTGATGCCGTTGGCCTTGTGCCAACGCTCACACTGGCGCGAGTCGATGACGGGAACGTCCACAGCCTGCAGCGTCTTCGGCCGGAGACGCGACCCTGAGGCGGGACGAAGGAGTCACTCATTGAACCGTAATTCTGCGAGTAACGGCCTTACTTTTGCCACGAATGGAAAAAAAGTATCTCTCTGTGTGTGAATACATACACAAATTGGCCCTTTTATTCATTTTTAATAAGTTAAAAACTGTGTGACGTACTATGGGAAGAAGTGCAATCTGTGCACGATTTCATGAGCTCAGGCCTAACTCATACAGTACATATTAGGCCGAACTATAAACACAGGTAGAAAAAAAAAACTTTTGGGCAAGAATTGGAATAAAAATGTTCGTTCCCCTACAAAAAACAAACAATTTTCAGAGGTAAAGCCGTTACAGATTTTGTCTATTATCCCTTGTGTTCAACGTCAACTGCAAGCGAGAAAATGGAGAACGATTATTTGATTATCTACTTTCCTTACAGAGATAAAGAAAACGTGCACAAATAGTGACACTACATTTATGTCCAGAAGCAAAACAAGGGGCCCCTCGGCATTTGCTCAAAGGTTCAGGGAAACTGAACGAAGGACCTGATCGTGATGAGCGTCACTCACCCAGAAGTTAAAGATTGTTGCTTCATTATTCAGATGTGGTGAGGGCGCAGGAGATGGACACAGAGTTAGGAAGATTAGAATGTATTTGTGTGTTATTGTGATAGTTCTTGATTTTAAAGAGAACTATTCACAGCACATTGAACAATCGACGGAGCATGAGTAACACATCTAAAAATGTCTTTTGCTGGATATCCTTCTTTATCCGGGCAGAAATGTTTACTTTGCAGACATAGACAAAAGGTTCTACTCTTTATATCACTGTCTTAAGGATTATATTTATGGAAGTTTTACTAGGCAAAATACAATACTGTCTGTATACTATTCCTTGACATTTTTCACTAAACAGAAAATAGAAAGAAAATAGTGTGTTCTCTGGTGGTCTCGAGAAAACATGCATATCTCGGGAAACCAATTTCGCGGGTTTTATCCAGGCAGAAAGCAGGGAATTTTACGAGTGTGAAAATAGATATGCCTGGCGTGGAAGTTATCATTCAATCCGCTAAAGATCCCTTGGACGCTCTCAGCAAAATTAAATATCCCAATGCCCAATGAGAGCTTGAATTAGCGCGCGAATGTACTATGTTGATAAGATACCAGGAACCGCTATATCGAGCTATCAATACATACGTTAAAATCGGCGTTAGGAAATAGAGATTTTGGCAAACCACTCCAGATTTAAATACTCCAGCACATCTCAGGCGAAACGGAGGGTTTTGACTGAGACCAGCGGTAAGGCAGAAGCCTTAAGAAATATAAGTACCATAAGTGTAGTACGTGTTATATACCGGGAAGTAGTGATGTTCCTTCATCCTAGAATGGAAGATCCGATGTGAACCCACACACGAGCTTGAAGGTTTCCCTCTCCAGGTATCTCCTGCAGCAGGGCACCGCCCTAGCCAGGTCAAGTTCTAAGCACGCAAGTGCTTTGTGGTGCATATAAGTGAAAACATGTGTGTAAGGGGAGACGGGACAAGGATGAGGAAGGAATGATCGCGCGTAGTCAGTGTTTGTTAGGGTACTATGGGCTGCTGCAAGGAAAAAGAGGAGCATAAAGGACGGCACATGTAATCTTTCCTTTAATGTGCAGAATTTAACAAATTATATTTTAGTTAGACTATTCCACTCGTGAAATTAAAATCAATAGTGTTTAACTATACATACAAAATGTCCCAATCAGGGCGGTGTATCTCAAAAAGTTGGTCGCTTTTTCTGTCCGATTTTTCTTACCGCTTCTACCTACTTGCCAATCATAAATTGTGACTCGTCAATCTTAGGAGGCGGTATACATCGAGCGCTATGTCGATGTCCAATAAACGTACTACAACATAACCTCTGATTTTAACATACGCTTTCAGTTATTTTCAACATTTGGCGCATTTTGGAACTCTGTTGGACGTAATTTCACTCGTGGAATAGTCCTAGTAAATACGACCCGGGCTTTGGAAATTCTCAGATAAATCCCCTCCTCGCATCGCGAGTTGGGAATTTATCGACAATTTTCAAAGCACTCGTGATATTCCCGATCATAAAAAACACGCAAACTGCGAAGGAGTGGAGGGGCGGGCGTACCTGGCTGCAGCGCGCCCCAGCCGGCCGCCCAGCCCGTGCGGCCGAGAGCGGGCTCGCCGCGCGCGGGCAGGCAGATGGGCGCGATGTGCGGCTGCGGGGCGGCGGGCCGGTCCAGGCGGAGCACGGCCACGTCGTAGCGGTCGGCCTGAGGCGTGAACCTGCGAGGGACGCGGCAAGACGCGCGCTCAGTCACGTGGCCGGGCGACGCGGCCCCAGCCACGCCATCGCCCCCAGAGACATTTATTGGAACGTCACTCGTTTTATTCTAAACAATTACTAGAACCACATATTGAGCTAATCAGATTCCAAAAGAAGATTCGTACAACACTTTTCTTTTTAATTGAAGCTAAACAACTTTGAATGGGAAGACCCGCCAACCTAGGGACTTTTTGGACCCCTGTATAATTTACTTGTCTGTATTTTTCTAAGTACTTTTAATACACAATAAATTCTCTGTCTTATAGATATTCTTCTGTACACTTATCAAGCAGGCTTGTAACCCGTTTGTCACATTTGCTCCTTTTTGTTGGTGAATTTTTATTTGTTTCATGACCCAAACCATAGCTTATGTTGCTTTCTTATTCTGATTAGAAACATCTTGTCGTGACTTTTAATATTGCTGCCCTAAAAGCGTCAGTATTTAAATTTCCTTTTTAAATTGTCTCCGACACTTTGATTTTTTATAAAAAAACGTATATATTTTTTGGTATGTTTTAGAATAAATGATGCACAGGACTAAGGCATTTAAGGGAGATTAAATGTGATCACTTTTTGCTAATGAATATGTGATAAAAAATTTCAGATACCGAAGTTACACATAAGACTTTCGCCCCTGGTTGGTAGGCAACACATCATGCACTGGTGTTTGGCATGTGACGTTCTAACGCAAAGGGATTTCGCGTACATGTATTTATTGTATTATTAAAGATGCAATATATAAAGTGCATAAATCATTTATATTCCATTTATTATTTATTGAAAACGTTTCGTCGCTTTTTGCGGAAAACTGTTGTAACATAAAAAATCTAAAATTAGGATTTTAGGGTAAACCAGTTAAAATCATTTTTATGTGTAATAAATCTTTTTCTCTGACTAATCAATTGCTGATTTGGAGGAGATACACTGCTATTTCAGAGATAGAGATCGCTTTTTCTTTTTTGAGAGAATGTTATCCAAGCAGTGCTTCATTTTCGTTATTTAGAAACCAACAAACGAACAATTTTTTGACATACGTAGAATATCGTCGATCAACGGAAAGCGAATGAAGTTGCTGGGAAATTAAATCGTGTTCTCCTGTATCAAATATTTTTGTGTTACAACAGCATTCCAGACTAGCGACGACTCACGCCCACCGCTCCCAGCTGTGAGTGGCGCTCGCCGCCCGCCACTGCCCCGGGCAGGGCAGTCGCTGGGCGCTCACCTGAAGAGCGGGTGCACGCGCACGTCGCGCACCCCGAAGGTGTAGGCGGGCAGCGGCTCGGCGTCGCTGTTGAGCACGTAGTCGCCCAGGGTGACGCGGATCTGCGCCGCGCGCGCCCGCGCCACGCAGTGCCCGGCCGTCACCACGTGGCGCCGCGACACCAGCGACCCGCCGCACCGCGAGCTGCCGATGCGGATGTACGCCTGCGCACGCGTCGCCGACGCTCACATTCGCTGTCGTGCCTCTGCTCTCTCTCGCTCTCTCTCTCTCTCTCGCTCTTACTCTCTCGCTCTTACTCTCTCGCTCTTACTCTCTCGCTCTTACTCTCTCCCTCTCTCTCTCTCGCCCCTTCTCTCGCTCTCTCTCGTTCTCTTTTGCTCTCTCACTCTCTTTCACTCTCTCTCGCCCTCCATCACTCTCTCTCGCTCCCGCTCTCTCACTCTCGCTCTCTCTCTCGCCCGTTCTCTCGCTTTCTCTCGCTCTCTCGCTCCCGCTCTCTCACTCGCTCTCGCTCTCTCGCTCTCTCTGCCGCTCGCGCGCGCTGTCACACATGTTGACAGCGCTAGGCGCCCTGGGTGCCTTGTACCTTTGAGTAACATGGATTTAATACAGACGAGTGAGTGATTGAATGAGAAGGGTCAGTCGGGGTTAATACGATGCAACAAAAAAATGGGGCTAATGTGATACTTAAAGAATGGTTACTTATTGGCATCCAAAATTAAGAAAAATAGCAAATAATAGGAAATATTTTCTATTAGTAATGATCACATAGCAGAAATTCAAAATGTTAGAGTATTTGGGCATAGCAGAATATATATAAAAAAAGAAGAAAATACTGTTGAGACATTAGACCCCAAGGTGTTGGACACTAGACCCCCATTATAGCCCACTCGTTTCTCAATCAAAATTCATAGAGATATCAAGCTGTATCACTTAAGCCCCATCAATGTATAGTAGCCCCATCAGATGGGGATAATTTGATACACACTTTTGGTTTTTTTTAAAGAGTTATGGTATGTTATTTTTGCTTTGTGCACTTCTTTATCACCAAAAGGCTCCTATTCAGTATTTTTTTCATGAGTTTGCTACGAACGGTATAAAAGATAATGTGAAAGTTTTCTTTTGTGTATCATAATATCCCCGATTGAACCTATTGATTCCAGACGCATTAACCTCTGAGGTCATTAGTCCTATTAGTGTAGTGAATGTTACATCCTAAGAGATTATCTGATATTTGACGCCGACCTACACGTCGGCTTGCGGGGTTTCCTCTTCATGTATCTCCCCCCAGCGGGGCACCGCTCCAGCCGGAGTAGGGTCTAAGCTCCCGATTGGACCGCCTGGCATGTGCATGGTAGTGTAGTAGGTGTAAGTGTAAGTATACAGATGAGACGCAAAACTGGGAACCACTCGTGGTCAAGTCTCTGGGTGTACATGATGAGACATAATACAGCGCTGTCCAGTGAGGGGCGACTGGGCCATCCCCCTTCCTCGTTATCAAACATTTTTGTGATTATTACATTATTATAATTATAATTATAATTATTATTATTATTATTATTATTATTATTATTATTATTATTATTATTATTTCAAAAATATTTTTGGGTGATTCGAAGTAAAATTGGCCCCTATCACCGACGTTTTTTCTGGATCAGCTCCTGTGTTGTCAAGCTGTATCCGTATGAAATACTGCTAAGGTTACCTGACATGACATCTCCAAATATTTGAATCACTGACAAACGAACGAAGATCCGTTTGTTCCCGTTACACCCTGTTATCAATTCCTTAAAACATTCCCAAAACGAACGACGAAAATTCTGTATCATATAGTACTACTTGAATCATAATTTTCTCGCTGCCTTCACGTTCTCAAATCATTTGTCGCTTTGGGGACGTACATTAATACATATCTGCTCTCGTGAAGCTACAGAGGCTTAAATCCTCTAAGAGCTAATCCCATCACATGAAGCTACGGTCACTTCACAATGAACACCTTATGTGCACTGCCTGCTTCCGGTCGCTTCAATTGAGTGGAAATCCAGTGGCGTTTTCAACTGTTTATTGTGCGCTCTTATCCCCAGGCGCGTTATTTAAACCAAAAACGAATTGTAATATTTAAAGAATTAACATTCTTACTGCAAACTGTTGATTGGGAGGCCCGTAGAGTAATGTGCATTCACTTCCCAAATCTGGAAACCGAAGCTGATATCGTGATGATTATCATTGAAATTTGTAGTGGATCAGTGTGTTGCAGTAATTTTTGTTTCTTGTAGGTGTTCTAGTTTGTCTCATCATTTACCATGAGTTAAGACTTGAGTGCGGTGAATCGTGGAATTCAGTCAATCGCAGAGAATCGTGGGGAGTTACCGGTAAAGGGAACAGCCGACCACCGTTTTCTCACACAGATGTCACATACCCGATACGTCACAAGAAAGTTGTATCTCAAAATTAAGTTTGATTCTCTTATAAATTTATAATACTGTTGTACAAAAAAATAGGGTAAGCAAATCGTTTATAATGTTGCTTCATTGCTTTCGCACAAATTTGCAAACTCGCTTTTAACGGCGCTCGATTTCAAAACATGTACTCATGCAATAAAGCTTAACATTGCAAAATAATTACATAAACTACTATATAAATAATAATGTACGAATTAATTTGATAATAAATTAATTAATTGGATAATGTATTGATTAATTGTATAATGTATTAATTAATTTATAATGCATTGATTGATTGTATAATGAATTGATTAATTTTATAATGCATTGATTAATTGTATACTGAACTGATTAATTTTATAATATATTTTTTCATTTTATAATTTGTTATTTTAACTGTTATTTGTATTTATTAATTAATTAATAATAATTTATTTTATTAATATTATTTTAATATTAATATAAATATTAAAATTAATATAATGATTTTTTTGAGTTTGTCCGAGTGTGCAGAGGGAAGCCGGAAGAGGGCGTACCTGCCAGGGGAAGGAGCCGAAGCCCGCTTCGTCGCCGCCGACGATGCGCCGCTGGGCCCCAAGCGTGGGCGCCAGCTTCGCCGTGGACACCCCGCAGCCTGCAACACGCCCCGCGCCTGTCACCCTCCGGCCGCGCGCGCACGCACGCACGCACCCACGCACGCAGGCCCGTCGCCTCTCCTCCTCCTCCTCCTCCCCTCTCACCAGCGCCGCGCTCTCCGGCGGCTGAAGCCAACCAACACCACGTGATCTCGGGCTCTTGCCCACCTCCTGTCGTATCAATGTTCCAAGCCTTTATTCGTCATTGAACGCGGAGTCATTCTCCTTGAACGTAATCTTAAGGCATTGAACAAGAAGTAACGTACTCATTTTCTCATGATGCCTTTATCCCTATCGGCAAGGGCCTCAGTGTCGTTAATATCTGGGGTTCACTAAACGGACACCCATCCACCTCGGTGTCTAGGAGTTGCTTAACCATTGTGACTTCACGGAGCGTGGATAACCGTTCGGCAACCGACGCCAACCCTCAGGGGGGACATGGTTTCAACTAACATTCAGTCGCTTTGAGTAAATTGATGTTAAACTTTCACATCTCCACCTATTCTCGTATCTCTCTACCTACTACAGTAGTGATTTTTATAGAAGCAGAAGTCAGATAGTACCTTGTCACACTAACAACTTAGTTTCTTCGATTTTGTTTGTTTAAACCTAGTCATTTCAAAGGGTCGATACGCAATGGACAATTGTAGAATGCGCTGAAATATAGTCATTTCTAAATAGTGATAACTTTGCTAAGTCGCTCAACTACAAAATCAAGCGTTTGCAGATAAAGAAAAATGTTTGATCGTTTCGTGCACTAAGTCGTTGAAAGGTTATTTTCTCAATTACATCTGTGAGAAAATTACTGATTCTAACTAGCATAAAAGTGCGAGCGTGTTATTACATTTCACTTTTATATTTGGATTGCACGTCACTTGAAAATTGTAAATATTAATTATGTTCAGATATTCGCAATTACTTCTCTTAGATAATTTTTTGATGGTTGTGCGTGTAAATTCTTAGTTAATAAGTTAGAAATGAAAATAAATTAAATTAATAGATTGAAATTTGGCAAATACTACCTACATTCACATTTTAAAATACACTTTTCACTCGTTCAAATCTCCAATCATTTGGATAGACTACAATCAAAGCAATACAACAATCGCATTACTGCTTGTTAGGATTTTATAGCGACGTACGAAAATTATACCTGCATGCTGTTGGTTAACATTCAGCCGCTGTAGAGCATATCAACAATTATAATTTAGTCAAATAACTTTATCTTTGCAGTCAATAATTTGTGATGAAAATAGTTGATTGCTCTGTTCATGCAGTAACTTTTTATAGAATTAGTTTTTATCTGAAATGTATTCCTGTCATATTTAATGAAACTTTTGATCTCTACTGAAACATTACTTTTATATACATTTGTACCTAGGATTGCATTACTTTCTTTGGGATAGCGATGGTTGAACTTTTGCCCACTAATAAGTATCAAATATGCAAAAGTGTGAGTTAACTAAAGTCCTAATATTATATAATATATAGATATTATTTTTACTGCACGAACACAGCCTTGCGATTTGACGCACAATGCTGAGTTTTAACAGATTTAAATAGAAAATTAAGTTAATATATATAGGATGCTTGTTCCTGAAGCATTATTGTGCATTAAAATTAATTTTAGTGCAACGTCCTGTGATACAATGATTTTTCCTGAGGGATGTGCTTCTGTCACCACAAACGTTTAATTATAATCACACAAAATGACAGTAATGTATATTAGATTACACAAAATATTTACAGGCATAAATAACGAACATGTTTTATAAATAAGATAATAGTATTATTTTAGCATCTGTTCACAATTTTTGGAAAGGATCAATAAGGCATGGTGGTGTTGATGGATAATATTACAAGGTATGCTTGTTGAAATAATCTGAAACAAGCAAAAAAATATTCGAAGAAATTTAAACTTCTTCTGAGACCTGAAACAAACTGAAGGCTGTAACGTAATTTTTATGACAAATTATATTGGACTTCTTTGGCCCGTGGTCCGTTTTCGTCCGTCGAGTCTGTCAGTTTTGTCGTAAAGTTAAACGGTTTAAATTCTGATACATTTATTTACTGGTTAGTTTCCATTAAATTGCATGCTTTTGTTAGTAATTGTTATTTTAAGTGCTACTGTAAGCACAATTTTATTACAACAAATGAAATTTAATTATTCATAGAATTTTTAAGGAATTTAGTTTACATGATAAATTTAATTGTGAGAACATCTTCACTTCTAAGATTTTCTTACTACTACTCCGATACTCAAGTGACTACTTATGAAAATAGATACAGAAAGATAAGAGGTGCTTCAAATACACAAGATCAGACGTGCCCAACACAAAAATACTCAGGAAGCAATGTGAAATTCGCAAAAGCGGCGTACTATCCATGCTTTTATTACAATAGAAAATTCAGCTGATGAATTAAAATAATTTTAATTTACAGACAATATTGTAATATTACATATTATATTTTTAGACGTATTGTTGGTATCACCCCGTAAAGTGCTTAACGTAATAAAAATGCGTTAAAGTGATTATTTTCTCATATTTTTCATACGTCATTTTAATTTAAGGTTCTGAATATGTCTTCATCATTAAAAAAAATACTTAGTACGTGAACAAATTTTAGTCTTAATTTGCTTTTCTTCTCAAAAATAACATACATTCAATAATTGTTTTCATAGGACAATTGTTTTCACCAACTTTACCGACATGGCGTTTGAATTAAAAAGAAAAGTGTTTAATTTGTACATTGATACAATAAATGACATGCAAAGTATCCAAATTCCACGAGACAAAAATAGTATGAATATACAAATGCTTTTAAATTTTTGTTAGTTACAGTTCACAGTTAGAAGTGTTACATAAAATATATAGGCGCCAGAACGTGTGATAGCCTAACAGAACTATAATACATTTTCACAAAACACGAAATAATACGCGTTGTTGAATAGTTAGCTTTTTTTTAGAAAAAAAGAGGCTGAAATTTGTCTATTTTTGTTACAGATATACTACAAATGCTAATTGAATTTTAAATAATTTCTAGTGTAATTTCTGTACTTTACTGACACGATATTAATGTTTTAAATTATGTACTATGTGAAACGTCGTCTACAACAATGTCAAACAATATCGATCTTTATTGAAATGTCAATAAAAAATGAGTGGAGAGTGGGTTTAATACGAAATTTGACAACAAATTGCGCGTCGTGTATTCAGAAGTGAGAACCAAATTTTCAGACACACAGTTTCCAAAGCACAATTTAAAGAACTTATGTAGTCAGTTTAAGAAGACTATAACAAATGGGATAAGAAAGAACAAAATGCTGAAAAATTAAATGAAGCTCTAAAGAACACACAAAAAGCAAGTACAAACTACAACCAAATTAGAAGACAAGCATTAATTCCCAAATATACAAAAGAAGAAACACAGAAGCCTCTAATACTCTTTCACAGTTATCTTTAAGAAAAAGCTAAGAAAACTACTATATGGAAATTAATTTACAGACATGTATACAAGAAGAACGAAATACGTTGATTTCTTTAGACAAAACTGAGGACTACGATGGAGGAAAAGAATAAACTTTGTTCAATACTAATACGCAGAATAAGAAACATATTGAAATGTTCGCCTCAAGAAGTGTTGAAATATGAACGAAATTATGCTGGCTAATTCAATTGCAATTAATGTTTACTTAATTCGTTAAGGGAAAGAGAAGGATTTAGAGACAAGCACACATACAAGGATTGTGCACAGTACCTATAATGTTAGTCACATGACGAAAAAGGTACCAAAATTCACACACATATCCCAGATGTCAGATCACTAAGAACACAAACAGGTTAATTAGCGCTCTTCTCAGCTCCGAAAACTGTAAAATTTCTGTGTGCAAAATAGTCTTTCCTAAGACATCATCTTTTTCCACATTATAATAAAAATTTTGTGGTTACTGTAGGTGACAATTTTCTGATATTTTTTAAACATAATCCGTAATTATCAATACATCTAAATGGGATTGAGAACTATATCTTCTTTAAATTATGTAAATAATGAAGACACAATTTGAAGTATTTCTGTAACGACACAAAACCAATGAACAATGGCAATATATCATTGTTTTGAAACTGAATATAAATCATTCGGAGCTGAGAACAGTAATATGGTTAGATCTGTTTCGTGCCATGTGCTGTTCAATATTTCTAGAATGTGAGTTTATTTGTGTCCGTAGCAGTACCATGTCAAAACAATTAATTTTCTATGACTTGATAATGTCGGAAATAATTAGGAGATTTTTGTGATAAAATTTCTCCACATAAAATGAGAATTTTCTATTAGATTTCTTACACAATACGCAAAATTATAATTACGCACAATACGCGGCGAAAAAGAGAACTTTTTATTTGAAGGGAAATAATTTTTTTACCATTAAATTATAGAACAGCGATACGAATTACATGACTTTTTACTATAAATTTTATTGAACGGAGAGATACCGGGCTAATTATTGAGTCTTTCTTTTAGGAAAACGATGAGTAAAAATGAAATTGAAAATTACTTTGTTAAAATATCAGACAAGTATCAATAAAGAATAATTTTTTTTGAAACTTATAAAATGGAAAATTAATGTTTAATGTTTAAATTTGTTTCTCTGAGTGACTATACTAATTTGAATTTATATGCGCATACGTGTTTGAAAAGAAATAAAAAATCTAGTTGAATTCCATTTTAACTTTTAAATAACCAAAACGTCTTACTAAAATGATGTATCTCACGTTCATCTTTTATTTAGCACGTTCTTTAAGTGGCGTGCCAGTAGACATTATTCATTTCATTCATTCAATTATCAATTCTGAGTCTGGTAATTTCGTTTTCGTCGATGTGTCAGGGTTCAGTAGTTTCTGTTCTCCGTACGGAGTCGTGGTACTGCTATATGTCAATGTGCACTGTCCATTCCAATTGTGTATTTGTGTCATCGTATCAATTTCGCCACACGCCCACAGGGGAACGTCAACGCATAGCATACAACTCGGTGATAGAGAAAGTGAGGAGTCATATGAGTGGAACCACCGGATTCATATGGATATTTATGATCATTATTGCGATTGGTGATATAAGTT